ATTCACTTTTCCCCCCCAGTAACCTGTATACAAAAAACATTATATAAACCACATACACCCTAACCCCCCCCTGATACACAGCAATCTAAAACTACACAAGACAAAAATAGACATCAGACCCCCCCCCACTTTGTCAGCACTGATTTTCAGTAGCAGAACTGGCTTTAGGAATATTTCATCATTTGAACTTTTTTTAGTATTATTTGAACGCTGTGTAGTTTTTACTCCCCCCCTCAGAGTTTAGGAGAACTCCATAAAACAAAACAAAAATAACAACAAACCCCCCCAATTTGAGACATGTTTGCAACGTTTCAAAACCAAACCAAAATTTTCTCCCCCCCACATTTCTAAGGGTATCATTGGTCACTGCTTCATTTAACAATAAGATCCCCCCCCCTTCTTTTGACAAAGGAGAGACAATCAATATGGCTTACTTGCTAAAGTCTTCAAAGTGGTTGACGGCAAAAATATGGTGTTTGTCTAATTTGTATCCATTGGCTGTCTTTACTGCTCTTGAAGCATCAGCAGCATTAGAAAACTCCAGGAATATAAACCTGCAATGAAACACAATAGAAAAATGAAAAACCAACACACTTGAAGGAAACCCCCCCTCATATCTTGTACATTATTGAATCTTACAAACATTTGTAATTCTGATCCCCCCCAATATTCTCCTTTGTAATCAATCTTTAGGAGAATTTAGCACTAGTTCACTCACCCTTTGGTCATGCCGTTATCCATGGGATAGTACTCTGAGGTGATTTTACCCCCCCTAGAAAATACTTTCCTGATAACATTCTTTAATTTCTCACATCTATCCTGTCCTATTACTGGTACATTATCTACAACAATGATGGACTCYGTGCCTTCTATTCCCCCCCGTTTTTGGGACAGCACATCACCCAACAAATCTGAAAAAGATTCACAGCCCCCCCACATGTGTCAATTAATGTTTGTACTTTGTTCAACCTGACACAGCAGACCCCCCCATGAGGCATGGACTATCAGAAATGTTTTCCATGTTGTCAGCACTCTTTTTCAGCAGCAGAACTGGCATTAGGAATATTTCATCATTTAAAGTCATCAACATCCCCCCCATTTGTCAGTTACAAATTAACTTATCATCTTAACCTGGTTGCTATATTATCAGATGTAGTCAATACTATAGTTTTTATTAAATGAACATCGTCATTGATATCCCCCCCGTTTTTCAGCAATTACTTAGTGTATGTCGTCCTTGAATTGAATACCTCCCCCCCTTCCACTGGTAAATTTGTTAATCTTTTCTACTACATTTTTTGAAATGCCCCCCCATATTTTTTTACTTTTAAAAAACCTATTTCATCAACTTATTTCCCTCCATAAAATCATCATGTCTTTTGATTCTTTGCATTTTTTAATCCACCAGTAAAACAGAGAAGCCATGGAATGAAGGTTTTGAAACTACAAGATATCACCATTTTATTATGGTTACTTGATGTTTAAAAATTTAACTTTACAGAATAGTATAGAAATATTCTAACCCCCCCAGAACAAAAACTACTAAATCCACATGCTTAAATAGGCTTTTAAGTTACTTATTTCAAGAGTACTGCGAAGAAGCTAGAGAGACATATTTACTCATAATTAACCCCCCCAAACAAATGCCTTTAAATGTGTAAATTATGATACTGTGTACAATCTTTAAAATTATCAAAATTTCGATGAACATTTTCCCTTCAAATTCCACGTGATATTCAGATACCACCCCTTGAAAATTCAATTTGACCGTTTACCAAAATTATAAAGTATATGGCACTATACATTAACATTATAAATATATCCTTTGAATAAATACTGTAGTAGTTTAAAATGTATGGACCAATCTTTTGATCTCAAATTTAACTACATCAAAACGATACCCCCCCAAAAAAGCCGGCATTTTCAACTCGTGGCCATGAATTCCYGCAGAAAAAGTCCAAATATGTTACCTTCATCAGAAATATCGTCTACAAATCCCTCAGGATCATCAAATTCACTATCATCTTCTTCTCCATTTGCCAATTGTTCGCCATTTTCATGTCCCCCCCGGCCGTCTTCGTCGCCCTTACCATCCTCGTGTCCTTTGTCGTCCGCCATTTTGCTTGAATCAGTCGTGGAAGGATCTTGTTCGGCGGCAAACCACATGCGCGTGACGTCACTACACAGGCAGCCCGCAATTGTCCTGAGAAATGCAAGAAAGCAACCCCCCCGAGAAGGTACTACGTTTATCTTGATGACAGTGATCATTCATTCATGGCCCCCCCTCATTTCCAAGTATTTTATCCCAGAGGCGTGTCTTTGGGAGGTCACACCCCCCCAATGAACCCATCCAAAAGTTAAAAAAAAATAAGAAAAAACTGACAATCCCCCCCTTCAGCTGGGTGCAGAAGCAGAATTAATATTTGCTGAATTTTCATCTCATTTAAATCGAACTACCTTTTTTTAAATGGAATTTCTGATTTAGAAAAATGCACCCCCCCTTGTGCATGCAACCCTGTCCATCCTAGACTAAGATGTGCAATTTTATCCCCCCCTATGAGCAGATTAAGAAATTGCTATCAAAATCTCATATATGATGACACCCCCCCGATGCCATAGTGACAATATTTTACTATAAGGATCCCTACACACACAACCCCCCCATCTGGATGTGACCTGTAGGCCTGCATGTGGTTATGAGCTAAAAAGTCCCCCCCTCCATTCCCGAAGAGGAAAGTTTTTTGAATACACAATGGTTGGTTCACCCCCCCAACTATAGAACACACAGAAGCAAGATATCAAATGACAAAAAGAAATCCCCCCCCACTCTTAATGACAGACACCCTGTGACCTCATCTAAATATWCCCCTGCCCCCCCCTAGACTATGCAAATTTAGGAAATCTGTGGTTTACTATAAAGGGAACACCCCCCCTTCAACAATTTATAGTCAAGCACTCTAGAAAACCCATATTCAGTAGTCCCCCCCAGTAACCCCTTCCCTCCCCTCCCTTAACACAGGATTCTTGTGAAGTACCCCCCCTTGAATAGACTTACTGTGTAGTAGCCCCAAGGGGACTGTAGAGCATGCCCCCCCTAGGTACTCCAGTAATGGTGTGAGATTTCACTTATCTTAACTCGCGACCCCCCCCTGAGAAAAAATCATGAACAATTAAAGCCGCGGCTACATGCGTGATTCCCCCCCTGCGCAGGCGATGTGATTTTCTCAAAATCACCAGCGAATGACGATGTCCCCCCCCGAGCGACATAGCTGTATCGATAAATACATCCTCACAAATACTTATTCCCCCCCCCATAAAGAGATATACGTACAAAAACAGCTCAAATTTGATGTTCAGCTTTCATCATACCAGAAAATCGAGCTGCCATCGCTTGCGCAAGCGAAAAACCGCTCCCCCCCATAAGAACAACCCAGAGGGAAGAGGACAGGGGTGACAAAAAATTAAACCCCCCCACTGAAAATTAGCTTGAAAAAAAATGCAGTACGTAATCACCTACTCCCCCCCCCCCTTAAATGGTTCACCTATAAATGAAAATGAATTAAAAATATATTTTATTCAAAGCAGAAGTTCGTATCACCAATATTAAATCACTGGAAAAAAAATTATCCCCCCCAAAAATATATAAATATTTTTTTTTCACTTTTGCTCATGATTTCTAATAGTATATGAAAATAGAAATATTGCACTATTTCATTATYGAACTAAAGTTTTGGTTGAAACACAGTCATTTCGAGATAAAAATCATGACAACTAGCTTTGACGTTTCGACACCAACATGTGTCATTTTCAAAAAGTGAATTTATTTAAAACATTCCTTCTATTTATAGGTAGATTTGAATACTAAGTTGTTTGTTTAAGAAAATCTACTGTATTCAAATCTACCTATAAATAAGAAGCAATGTTTTTTAAATAAATTCACTTTGTGAAAATCCCCCCCGTTGGTGTTGAAACATCATTAAGCTAGTTGTCTTGATTTTTATCTCGCCCCCCCTTTCATTATGTGCATCATTAAGGTTATTTATATTACATGACAGCTTGCCCCCCCTGTTTTCAGCCTTCTTGGAGGAACTTCAACAAAATGTTTGATCTCATTAGTATCTATTGTTCATTCAATGGCTGTCAGTCTTTTGAATCTCACTTGAATGRCCCCCCCCTATAAATTAGTTGCTAAACTTGTTCATGCTYACAGTCTCCTTGACACCCCCCCYTTTSGGCTTCCTCAGGAAATTATCAGGAAGCTCAAAACAGGAAATTCCCCCCCAGGAGGCTCACTTACAGTAACAGCAAGTGAAGCAATAGTTCTTTTTTCCCCCCCAAATTCAATTTACTGATAGCATAGGTGGTGCTCTCTTATAAGTGGGACCCCCCCTGCTTGATAATCCATTTGAATTACCCTAAGGTAGCCATCGGAGCTGACCCCCCCTCCTTAAATAGATATAAAGTACTTCAGTGTGAAATAAGATTCAGCTGCCCCCCCCAAGCACTATGCTAATTTGCAGGTTATTAATGTAATTAATATAAATACCCCCCCAAAAAATAATAATGTTGTTGCTATTCACAAAGTTCCAATGTACTCTGCCCCCCCTCAAACAAAAGTGTCAGTTTTCAAGCACCCTGCCCCTTTGTCAGGAGCCCCCCCCCTCCCTTCCCTCAATTCTCGATAAATTTTTAAGGAGAAGAGAGAAATATAAATATACTACAAAAGTACATCCTAGGCTATAATAGTTCTTAATTAGTGTACCCCCCCTTGAGTTAGCACTTAATGTATCTAATCTCAAACCACTTAGATTCAGTCCCCCCCAAATAAACATGCAATCATTTAGATTGACAGACACTAATCTACATTATTACCATTGTTTTCTTTTGTAACTTCGTCTTTTGTTTCATTTTTTCTGTCTTCAATCCCTCTTAATCCAGCCTTTCTCTATTAAATATAAATTAGTTTAGCTATACTTCAAAAAAGTACCAGCTTTCCTATTGGACAAGACTTTGTCATGTTAAATATTTACACCCCCCCAAAAACTCTTTACTAGTAATTTAGATTGCAGTTATATAAATAGTACTCCCCCCCTAAATATAAGTCCCATCAGTTCAAAAGCCTGCAGTCATTTGTACAGAAAACAGACAAAATGGCACATTTAAATGTACTTTAACTATTGGCATACAAAATGACCCCCCCAAAACCAGGCCATTTTGGATGATTATTTTGAGAGTAATCTCGCACCACCCCCCCGAAAGGTTACGTGTTAAGTCATGAATGGAAGGACAGTTTTTTCATAGTCTAGAATAACATCTCTATTTCACAAGGCAAGCACTCGGTGTCTTTTATTCGATAATTCCATGACATGGCGGATTAATCCCGCGTTTGATTCCCCTTGGCACAGCGTGCCCCCCCTGATCTAATGTAACCATCGCTAACCAACATCACGATTTGGTTCCGGACCCCCCCGAAACACATCTTGAATGTTAATATTAAGGTTAACCAACGATACAGACCCCCCCACATGTAATCCTGGAATAAATACTATACGAGCCCTGCGTATTATAAACCCCCCCAGGTTATCACTCGTCTGTGTACCATCATAAATAGTTAATAATATATAAAATCTGTTCCTTGTATAAACGTTTGGTTGATAACACTGGACCAGTTACAGCAGTACATAAGGGAAACCATTTCAGTGCTAAGAAACGAGACGCGTGCTGTACGATGTCCCCCCCTTGTCGCGTGATAAGGYCCTTTCATCACATCCATATCAATTGGTTCATCTAAGACCATCCAAAGTCTCGATTTACCATCTCGTAGAAGCGGAGGTTGTGTGGTCTAAAGTAACTTTTTAATAGTTCCAAAACAGAGTTTCGTACTTTGGGATGTTTGCGTCCTTTAGATTTGCCCATACATCGAGGTTTGGAACTGTTCTGTACTTGAGGTCGTTTCCCAATCAGGCAGAAAAATCCTTTCGTTTCATTAAAAACAAAATTTGCCTCAGTAATAAAATGTTTCAGATTTAAAAACTTTTCTACGAGTCGTACTTCTTTCGCTGGATTATAAATCAACTCTTCGCCACTTACAAAATGTATTTGATTCAACGGGAAAAATTCGAGCCATTTTTCTAGATGTTTAGCATACAAGCCTATCTTCAACTTCATCCAATTCACATTGATAATTCCTTTCTTCAGATCTTTCACAGCAAATGTCTCAAATGGATAGTTATCTGGTTTTTTCGCTAATGACTGTGTATAATCTGAAACAGCTCGTTTAGTTGGATCTCTTACAACAACCAATAATTTTACCGTCTTCGACATGTTATACATTCGCTCTGGTACTTTGTCAGTAACAAAGTAAGCAGGCGATTTTTCTATTGTAATGTCCTGTGGATATGAAGGTGGCATGTTTTCTCTGTACCACGAAAGTCCACGTTCGTAGTTTATGTCACGGTCGAAGAAATGCACTTCGCTGTTGCAAGCTCGGATTCTAGGATGAATTTTTAAAATCTCTAATAAAGCGCGTGTGCCTCCTTTTTTCACTCCAATTATGACAGCATTCGGAAGCCGTTTTACAAACTCTTTATCACTACTAATTGATTTTCTGTCCAATTTATTTCTCGGAGTGATTTCAGTGTTCAAAACTTTGTTGTTTTTAATGCCCGTGTCGTTGAGTAAATCACGGTCCTTTGCCGAGTTTGCCCTCGGTGTATCATTGCTGTCAACACTCTGATGATTTACACTTGGCAATAGTTTTTTATCGAAGTTTAGCAAATCTTTTCTTTCTTCGGAAGAATGTTTTTCTTGAATTCTCCTGGTTTTTGAAGTATCTTTCTTTCGAGTAGGCGTTTGTTTAGGTAAAGGAAATGGCCTTGCAATGTCGGTTAAGTTCCACGGATGCCCCGGTAAAGCGGACGAGGGGCTTGCAGTTACTCTCATAAGATATCCATTCCTCGAATTAAAATCGTAGACCCCCCCGGAGAATATCAGTGCCAAGCCAAAAATAATTCCAAAAAACCGCTTCGCACTACACGGCAGACCGTCTCTAAAACTCAAGAAGTCAAGCATTTCACAAAAACATCAAGGCCTTCTCGCGCCAACGAATCGTGGATCGCAGTGTATGGACACATCAGCCCCCCCAATATGTCTTACTCAATTTAGCGGCTAAGCAAAGAATACCTCAGGCTCCAAAATATGGCAAATAAATTAACACAAACACACAATGCGTTTGTGAATTTTTAAATGTAGGACTCATTCGGCAAGTTGTTTCTATAATTGTATGTAAATAGGGGGTCTATAGGCGCGCTCTCATTGGCTCTTTAGTCAACCTATCTGTCAGCAATTAGTCAAAGCACTCAAAGGCTTTCTCCAGATATATTCGTTTGACAGTATCTGTGTCACATTTTAAAGACAATGTTAAATACAAAATGATTTAAGACTTAATCCTAGTATGTTAAAGAGAAACAGGTCTAGCTATCTATACTGAATAGAATCAAAATAAGACTCGACAATTGTTGTTTATTTATTAAAAAGTAGCAATCAGTTAAGTGATAAGCCAAATTAATGAACTATGAAAAACAATTAGATTTTTCCTGTAGCGTTATCAGATTTATTCATATCCCCCCCTTTTCAATATACTGCGAGCAGAGGAATTTTTCCACCTACTTCTTCCTTTTCTTCGTAGAATGGGATGGAAAAATTCCTCTGCTCGCAGGAAGAAAGCGAGACACTTCACGATGAGAGAAGAGTTCACGCTTTGCTTGGCCTTTTATTTGTTTAATGTTTCAACTTCTTTATTTCTCTGCTTAATCAATTCATTTTCATTCTGTTATAACTGTATTATTACCAATATTATCAAGATTCTTCTTCAGTTATTGAAATAATAAATCCCCCCCCTATCGAATGTTCACGATATCATTGGTTTCGCTACTAAAAAACAAACTCCCCCCCTGAAATGACAGATAGTTCCTGCTCACATAATCAGTCTTAATTGATATTCGCTTGATTTTTGTAAGCTTTATGACAAGATCATTATTACTAATTTTTTCCAATCATACTTATCATCTCTATCTTTTCCTGTTTTTCTAAATGCGGTTGCCGGGATTTAGTGATATTTTGCTGTGTTTGAAGTCAATCTGGAAGTTACATTCGTACGAGGTCTCGTGTTCAGACTTTTTTCACAGGCATATCTATAGTTTTAGTAATTAAAATCTTTACATGAAAAAAAGTGACCACACTAGGTCCACGAGAATCAGATTGATATATAATATTTATGATTGAATTTTCTTCGATAACATTGCCGGAAATTTCCAAAAAGTGTTTTTTTTTTTATATATCACAATCAGCCATCTTGGATTTTTTTTCTTTGACCCAGCGTTCTAATTGGTCCAACTCATTCTCCGAAAATGAGCGACAAAATGTATTTTTTTCCCCCCCTTTAATCCTATCGTGAAAGATATCACTTTTAAGTGCGAAATATCATGAAAACCTCAAAAAACATAATCCTTAGTTTGTAATCGTTTTATCAACCACACAAACCGACGGCACTTGTGAGTGATTGTCAGGTCCCGCGGCAACGTCGTACAGTGCAATGCACAACGCTTATCGTCTGATCCAAATCACCGAGAAATTGAATCTCAGGAGATATGTCAGACTATGGTAATTTCTCAAAGTCTTCAATGCTCGAGTTAACAAAGTGCTTGGTTCTGCGATGGTTTGCCCTGCGAGAACACGTCCGACTACGTAACGGCGCGGAAAGACTTAGACAAATTCGAGTCCTACAATCCCACAAAACGAGTAAAAATAATTAATTGATTGAGTACGGTGTGTACAGATGATGCGCACCCATATCTGCGATGATGACTGGCGGAATTGACTTCTCGGAAGTTTTTGCTATGCTTAAGTTTTTATTTTTCTTCGTTTCCCCTTCGGAGGAATATCTAGATTTATTTGTTGTTGCTCATCTCAAGAAGGCCAGTTTTCAGGAAGCGATGTGGCTGATATGCACGGTATTAAAATGAGAATTTTATTTCCATGAAACGGTAAATGTTCTTATTCATCCGGCTAAGACAGAGCGGTTTGATTCATCAATCTAGCGGCTTCTCTATGTTAATTGATGTTGAACAAAAAGAAATGTACAGCCCTGTAGCATTTAGATTCATATAATGGCGCTTGAATGTCATTTGGAGAACACAATCTAATCTGCTTAATTAACGCCATATTAAAAGTGATTTTAGCCACCCCCCCCATGCATTGCGACGATAAGCGAGAGTTTTAGCGGTAAGACTTCTGGTTGACAGAGATGGACATGCTGTCAACTAGAAAACCTTTGGTCTCCAAAAGCTGACTGGGCTAGTTCAGGTTTTCTAGAAGATATACGACATGTTACAGGGTGTACGAATACTTTCTTTATTACCGTGCCCAGGCCTCGGCCGGCACGGTTATAAAATGCAAGCGCAATTTTTTTCCACGTTAGGTTTTTAACGGGCGCTCGCCGATTTCTCCACGACTTACATCGAATGGGACAACTTTGCTCCCACTGATAAAACTAGATGGTATGATGGCGGTCATTCAAGGAGATGAGACTACTGAACCTTTTTGCTGTTTGGGGCATGAAAAATCGCCCAAACTTTACGAGAGGTATTCTGAGCGACATCTTTATACGAGAGGATATTTTGAGTTTCAGCGGACAATTACGAGTGAATCTTCTAGATCGAGATTCAAGAGCGAATAATTTTGATAAGTTCTGTAGAGGATCAAGAGCGATTACTTTTGAGTGAACCTTATTGATCGAGGATCAAATGGGAATATTTTTAAGTTAATCTTCTATCGACAATCAAGAGCGAATTATTTTCGAATATTTTTCACCGCGCGTACTATGCCGATCACCCCCCCGGAAATTACAAAGAAATGTAGAACTAAAAATGAGTTTACTCGTAAATCAACTAAGTCCTTCAAAGGATCAAGAGCGATTACTTTTGAGTGAACCTTATTGATCGAGGATCAAATGGGAATATTTTTAAGTTAATCTTCTATCGACAATCAAGAGCGAATTATTTTCGAATATTTTTCACCGCGCGTACTATGCCGATCACCCCCCCGGAAATTACAAAGAAATGTAGAACTAAAAATGAGTTTACTCGTAAATCAACTAAGTCCTTCAAAATATTTTTAAGTTAATCTTCTATCGACAATCAAGAGCGAATTATTTTCGAATATTTTTCACCGCGCGTACTATGCCGATCACCCCCCCGGAAATTACAAAGAAATGTAGAACTAAAAATGAGTTTACTCGTAAATCAACTAAGTCCTTCAAATTTTCACCGCGCGTACTATGCCGATCACCCCCCCGGAAATTACAAAGAAATGTAGAACTAAAAATGAGTTTACTCGTAAATCAACTAAGTCCTTCAAAACTCGCCAGTTAACTCCCAGTTTTCGTAGTATCCCTAGATCAACTAAGTCCTTCAAAACTCGCCAGTTAACTCCCAGTTTTCGTAGTATCCCTAAATCAACTAAGTCCTTCAAAACTCGCCAGTTAACTCCCAGTTTTCGTAGTATCCCTANTATCTGCGATGATGACTGGCGGAATTGACTTCTCGGAAGTTTTTGCTATGCTTAAGTTTTTATTTTTCTTCGTTTCCCCTTCGGAGGAATATCTAGATTTATTTGTTGTTGCTCATCTCAAGAAGGCCAGTTTTCAGGAAGCGATGTGGCTGATATGCACGGTATTAAAATGAGAATTTTATTTCCATGAAACGGTAAATGTTCTTATTCATCCGGCTAAGACAGAGCGGTTTGATTCATCAATCTAGCGGCTTCTCTATGTTAATTGATGTTGAACAAAAAGAAATGTACAGCCCTGTAGCATTTAGATTCATATAATGGCGCTTGAATGTCATTTGGAGAACACAATCTAATCTGCTTAATTAACGCCATATTAAAAGTGATTTTAGCCATACCCAGCATGCATTGCGACGATAAGCGAGAGTTTTAGCGGTAAGACTTCTGGTTGACAGAGATGGACATGCTGTCAACTAGAAAACCTTTGGTCTCCAAAAGCTGACTGGGCTAGTTCAGGTTTTCTAGAAGATATACGACATGTTACAGGGTGTACGAATACTTTCTTTATTACCGTGCCCAGGCCTCGGCCGGCACGGTTATAAAATGCAAGCGCAATTTTTTTCCACGTTAGGTTTTTAACGGGCGCTCGCCGATTTCTCCACGACTTACATCGAATGGGACAACTTTGCTCCCACTGATAAAACTAGATGGTATGATGGCGGTCATTCAAGGAGATGAGACTACTGAACCTTTTTGCTGTTTGGGGCATGAAAAATCGCCCAAACTTTACGAGAGGTATTCTGAGCGACATCTTTATACGAGAGGATATTTTGAGTTTCAGCGGACAATTACGAGTGAATCTTCTAGATCGAGATTCAAGAGCGAATAATTTTGATAAGTTCTGTAGAGGATCAAGAGCGATTACTTTTGAGTGAACCTTATTGATCGAGGATCAAATGGGAATATTTTTAAGTTAATCTTCTATCGACAATCAAGAGCGAATTATTTTCGAATATTTTTCACCGCGCGTACTATGCCGATCACCCCCCCGGAAATTACAAAGAAATGTAGAACTAAAAATGAGTTTACTCGTAAATCAACTAAGTCCTTCAAAACTCGCCAGTTAACTCCCAGTTTTCGTAGTATCCCTAGATCAACTAAGTCCTTCAAAACTCGCCAGTTAACTCCCAGTTTTCGTAGTATCTAACGTTTGAAATTAATGATTCTTTCAGAATAGGAATTCGAATTCGATTCGACAGTGTATCCTTGTTATTTTTCGGGACTTAATTGCTTACCCAAACAAAATGATGTCAAAAACGTCACCTCAACAGCACAGCAAGTGTCTCAGAACCCCAGGGAAGGGGGGGAACTCCTTAATATAAAAGGGCGGGGGTCCTCGTCG